GAAACACAGGAGGGAGCAATGTTCCTAAGTTAGAATGGGCTTAGTGATTGGAAAATCTTTGATTCCTTCTCAGGCAGCATTAAGAGTCAGCTGAGCACATTGCAAATATGAAAAGAAAAATGGACAAAAGAAAAAATGGAGTGGAAAACAGCAAGAAAAGGGATAAGAAATAAGGGAAATGTATGTGTATTCTATTAAAAGTTATGTCTCTGTATAATAGGTCTGTTTTAAGTGTTGTCTTTTCAATTCATAGGGTCCTATACCTGTCTTTGCCTAGGGCCCCAAATCTACTAAATCCGCCCCTGATCTTAGGTTGTGACATATATCAATGCAGTCAGAATAAAACAACAAAAGGTATATAGGTAGATAAAGTTTTAAAGAAATTAAAGATTAAGGTTATACGATCTCAAAAAGAAAAACAGTGCTTTGATCTGAATAACCTAATAAACAGAAGGGTAAAAAAAAAAGAAAAAAATGCTTTCTGTGGTACAAAACCATTTCTAAGGTTTAGAGGCTTTAGCAAACAAGAGAAAGAGGCAATATTTACAATGGGAGGAAACATGAAACAGTGGTGAATCTTCTTATAAATGCTTTACCATAATTGTTCCATAAGCCAATGAACAATTCATCCAGGAGGTTGGGGAAGAACCCAGGACAACATCTAAAGCATATCAGGCCAGTGTAGGTACCAGATCTGACCGGGCCCTGCACATGCCAGTGATGTTGCGCTACATGATTTGCTGAATGTTGCCACACGATGTGGTCGCCCAGACAACGATAACATCACGCAGTGTCAGTGTGCAGAGTCAGCAGCATCTGTAGGGTTAGCGTGTCTAATGAATAATAAGTTTTACCTGCTTGATAACAAAGCTGGAAAAAATCTGATTATGGTGAACAAAGTAACTAGACCATGATATAGAGGGGGAGACCATGTTAAAGAGGGGGAAACCATGATGGAGGTGGAGAGCTGGGTAGCACTGTGGCTAGCTGTGCCCATATTAAGTTACAATACTTTTAGCTTTGTGTCAACAACAACCATTCGTTTTCTAAAAGTAGAATAATTGTTTTATTTGTCTAAAATCTCTATGAAAGTCATTTTTTAAAGATATCCCATTTTTCCTCCACTACCCTCAGATCTTAATAAAAGAATAAAAATAAACTGAAACCTTTTTTGTCACCTTGTTCGATTGGCAGAGCTCAGTCTCAGAAGATAGCACTTTCCTTCAAGACTGACAATGATTGTTTTCTACTTTTGGCTACTTTAGGTCGCCAATGAAATGTAAAATACTAGGAAATATGAGTAATAATATGTTGAGACTCCAAAAGAGATTTGATCCTTAGAACAGGTGCAATAGAGTTTGTCCGAGTGGAGTTGCCATATGTTGACATCATGAGAAAGGGCAGGACCCTGAGCAAATCTGATCAGACAGACAGATCTGGTACCTACACCTAATTTGATTTATGATTTGTCTTTATGAGCAAAAGGGCCTCTATTTGAAGATAGAAATAGAACTTTCTTGATTTCACAGCAGAGAAATTAACTCTCTACATTTAAACCCATCCCTTTGGGGAGCAGTGTGGGGTTAAGGGTCTTGCTCAGAGACCCAGTGTGCAGGCTGTGGGGATCGAACCGGCTATTTGCTAAAATTGTCAGAGCACAAGCGCACTGCTCTAACCACTAAGCCAACACTCCCCTAGATTTTGACCCAAATGAACACAAAAGATTCTTACATTTGCTAAAACATTTTGATTAAACCTCTCTGGAAATATTCTGCAAATTCACAACACTCATAAAATATCTCAAACTACATCTGGCATAACATAATACAGTATTTTAGACATGGTTGGATTGTAATGTTCAGGGGTCTCCTTTAAAACCTGGAGGACATACAATAACTGATAGATTCATATATTCTGCTCTCTTTCAAAAAAAAATCCTGATTGGTTAATCTATGGCAATTAGTTTGTGACCTTAAGCTGAAGTCCTAGAGGGTAAATAAGCAGGGCTACTATCTAAAGAACAGTACGTCCACATCTATATAAGTGTTCTACTGAAAATCCATTTTAGATTATCTGGTGTGTTTAACTTAGGGTTCATTTTCAAAAACTCCTAATTCTAGAATACTGTCAAATTCTTCCAAATAGGTTTTAAATGTTTATTACCAGTTATTGCAAATGGTTAGTTTTAGTTTTGATCCTCTGAATGGAGAAAAATGTATGTAATTCTACATAAGTCAAAAATCAAATCTTTATTTGAAAACCTTTTACATTACAGAGTAGCCTACTTATATTTTAGTATTAGAACTTGTACTATGCCAAAAACATCTAGGTGTCAAAAAAGCAAAAAGGCTCAGAAGTGAAATTAATAAGTGCATGAATACTTCTTACAGTGCTTTACTTCCACTCATTAGATGCATACATATTTGTGCATTATTGGATCTTGTCTAAGTCCTCCATATAAGGTTATGCATTGTAAGTTATTAAATTAAAATCTATTATTGCTGCTTTTTCAGTTTTTGAAGTCTGACATGTAAAATTTCAACGTTGTTTTCAAAGCTGCAGCTAAAACAAAAAAAAAAAACCCAAAAAACTCTTTCCCTTTTTGAGACACTCAACATGACCAATACTCACTGTGACCACCTGAGGTTAAACCTTTTAGAAGAAGAAACCTGGAGTCGCTATACGTAAGGGACCAAAACACTTATAACAAAACAACATGCTTTTAAGGAAATCCCACAGGTTTTCGGTAAAAGGAGCCTAAAATAAATTCAATCTGACCTTGTCA